TTCTCATAAGAAGGGATACTGATTAATTAAGATTGCAATCTTCCGCTGCTTTGATCTCCATCTCCCAGTGACATGCATCACAACAGCCAATGACCATAAACTCATGAAATTTAACATTTTAAAAATTTTTACATGGCTTTGCTTGAAACAAATAAACGATGAAATGTCACCTTATTTTAAATGAATTAAACAAGAAATTCATTTGCAAACACATTTTAATCTTATATGTATATAATATATATACCAATATACAAAAATAGTTATGGAAACTTGACGGAATCATTGGATTTATGCTCCTTTTTCCCAAGTCTATTCTATTCTCGTTCTATTCCTATATATAAATTATTTTTCAAAATATAGCTATATATATACGGAATATAACCGAATCAACTTCAATCCTATATATAATTCTACACTAATGGATTTATAATTTGTATTCATTGCAAGAGAAGGGTAAAGAGCAACTTACTTGAATTGGATATGAATTGAATATGAGTAAAATTTGAACTAAAATCTTTTATCTCATTTGTATCCAACTATGATTTTATTCAATAGATATAAACTTTGAACAAGAAGAAACATTAAATAATAGACATTCCAAGCATTTTTCTCCAAATTCTATCAAATTTTAAAGAATTTTAAATTGAGCAATTCAATAAAATTTGTACATTTATTTCCATGTAGAATTCACTGCAAAACAAAGTTCATAGTCTAGAATAATTCAGAACATGACTTATAAAATTGCAAATTAATTTCACACCTTCTATTCAATTTATTTGTTCAAACACAGTGTCAATATTTATCACATGCATACAATCTTCAAACTAATCCCCAGTTATCCCTAATTTTAATAGTCTCGTGAACAAAATAACATAAAAAAAGCGAAACATTATACAGCAAATCATGCAAAGAATCAAACACAACAGAGTAGAGCTAGAAGACTCACAAACTGATAAGTCATGAAATGATCGCAGAAAACCTTGACGTGCTTAACCTCCAAAGCCATAGCAGTATTTAGCCCTTCCATCAAAGCCTTGAGCCCCACGGCCAGCTTGCTAAACCCGTCTCCAGTCAAAGGCTTCCTCAGCTCCACTAACACCCCGTCATTTGAGTCACAAATAGCAACCCCAATCCCCGCAAACGCAGTCTTCCTGTCGCACACTTCCTCTTTGCTGACCAATCCCTTGAAATACACCCTAACGGCGTCGCTCCTCCCTGCATTCTTGGAGCAACCTTCGCCGTAGGGCTTCTCGTAATTATGGCCCCGTTCCTGCCAATCATCCTCCGGAATCCGCGATATTTCGCGCGCGAATTTCGTGTCGCGAACCCGGCACTCTAACTCCTCCTTCGTCCGGCGAGTCTCCTTCTCCGAGAGCTGGAAGTCGGCGCGCGCGAAAATTCTGTCCTTATGTTTGGATTCGTCTTGATGGTGGTTGTCTAGCGGTGGTGGTTGGGGAGAGGAGGTGTGGAGCGCGAGAGAAGCGGCTAGGGCTTCCTGCAATTGGAGGCGATATGCGATGTCGAAGTCGGATTCCTGCGACTGCCCCGCCATGATCTCAGCGAATAGAGAGTGGAGTTCGTCTGCGTCGGCTGGGCTTGTTCCGATCGTACTCGAGCTCGACATTGGATTTGGGTACGACCGTTCATCACGTTTCTGGTGTCGTTTATCTGCGCTGCGAGTTTTTCTAAATTGGGAAAAGGATCCAGTGCGGTGCAGATGCATAATAGTCAGTGAAGGCGAGGCCCAAAACCAATTGAGTTGAACTCGGGCCACATTTGTTTGACTTTTACGAATATTGACCCAATACCCATAAAATAAACGGAAACAATTCTTCATGGGCCAAGCCCAAAACGGCCCGTTTTGGTTCCACTAAATCATATATAAAATTACATCATGTTTTGTTTTTATCGTGGCTGATCCAATTTTTGTCTTATTTAATAAATAATATAGTTACCCAAATCATTAATTTTAATTTCTCAAAAATAATATAAACTCCTCGACCCACCCATATAAAAATAATTTATATTTATATAAAAAAAAATTAAAAACATATTTATTAATATACTATTTAAAATAGAGAGAAGCACAAGAAATAAGTAAATGCTTGTTTATCATTTAATCATACATATTTAATAGATAATATAATATAATTTGTAATCTTGCACACATCGTATATATTATGTTATAATTGTTGATAAAAATATATTTTTTTTAATTAAAAATAATATTTTCTTTAATGACACTATAGATAATATATACATATATATATATATATATATATAGAATCTCTTGATTGAACTTATCTTTGTAGATTTTCTTATTCTAAAGTGAAGAACTTCTTTGGGTTAATTAGTCTACATTTGTTGGCAACTAGAAGTAATGAATTTTCTTCTGATTTGAATTTTTATGGAATAATTTTCATGGAAGTTTGACACTGAAATAGTTGACTTATTACCTATGAATTTTTTGCAATGTCTAGAAGGTTTAATACCAAATCAATAAATACCCAAAAATAATTATTATTATAATAATAAGCCCAATGAAAATTATATAAGTGAAGAAAAATATGGGTTTTTTTTTAATTTTTTTTTTAACTTTTTATAACTTTTGTTTATAATAATTTAATTATATAATATGGATATTTCCACAATGTGGGTTATAAGGGAGGTAAGAAAAAAAATTTATTTAAATAATTATTTAATTTTTGTATAGAAAATAATATACTTAATAAGAACAAAATACGAATATATTCAAAACATCCAAACACTAAAATTTGTGTTAAAAAAAAAAAAAAAAAAAAACTACCATCTTACTTTGAAAATTACACACACACACACATATATGTACATCAAATCATTATAAAATTATAAATAATTACAATAAAACATAAAATTATTAAAATAATTCTAATAATCTTAGTCAGAATTTTGTACCCAAAAAAAAAAAAAATCAAACCCACAAATATTTCCTGTTAACTTTCTCAATTACATACATACCCACATTGAATTTGCAACTAATTTAAATAAATTCAGTGTATTAAAAATCATAATCTGCAAAAAAAAGAAAAAAAAAAGATGCATATAATTTAAAGCAAAAGGAAAAAAAAAAGTGACTTATTGATAATTATTTTACGCGTTTTTCTTTATATCCAAAGAATATATAAAAGCATTTGATTGAAATAAAATTTATTTTCCGCGTTCTTTTCTGCTTTTCTTTTTTTTCTTTTTTCAAACAGCTTTTTTCAATAAATGTTGGAAAAAATGAAGAAAATATATATATATATATATATATATATATTGATATTTTCGAATATCGTATGTGTGTGTGTGTGTGTGTGTATATATGCGTTATGTGTGTATATCTATCTTGGGTCTCTGTAATTACTTTTTAAATCATAATTATCTTCCAACTAATTTTTCTGCAAATGAGAAAGGAGGAATTTTTTTAACTCTCAATGACTGCGCAATTTATTGTGAAGCAAGTGAACGCACTCACACTCACACACATATATATACACACACACATATACATACACACACACATATATACACACACACTAATAGCACGAGAAATTGAAGATTAAGTTAGATTTATATATATATATGTGTGTGTGTTGTGTGTAGTGGTGTGTCTTTATAACCACTACCTCTTGAAGTCATTTCCATACAAAGATTCTTCAAAAAAATAGTGCTTTGGTTCCCACTGAAATCTTTATATATAATTATATAGTTCTGTATGTGTATGTATGTATATATATATATATATTGAAATGTGGAAGACCCATTATAGATGTGTATGTAATAAGTCTATACCAATATCTCTATAATACCCACTTATTATAAATATAAGCTTTTATGGACAAAAAACGATTACCACCTAACACTATTAATTTTGACACTCACTATATATATATATAGATATATAGATATATATACATATATATATATATAGAAAATTCAAAATTTTAGGTTGTTCCCGGTTAGGTTACCACTTAAATCAATTTAAACCTAATGCCATTACAAAAGAAAATATTGGAGATATATATATACACACACACACACATATATATATATATATATATATATTGATTTAGTTTCCTCTAGTGGAGAGATTTCTTCTTGGCTTTTGTTCAATAATTGAGATGTCTAAATATATTGTTAATTTGACTTTACGTAGGAATATACTTAACTAAACGTTTTGTATTTTATTAATAATTTATTGGCAGGATGGTTAATAATTTAATTTAACATTTTGTATTTAGAACACATATATATATATATATATTTATATAAAAGGGGTAACTTGATCGTCTATATACGTCTATATATACACATATACATACATATATTTTTTTACTTTTTCTAAACTAAAATTACTCGTCGAGTAAAACTAAAAAAAAAACCAAATTTATTGAAATGCTTATCGGGGTTGGCAAAAGATGGTCACCAACTCCCGAACAAAAAAATCAAATGAAATAGACAACGAATGGACCAATATCCTTTAATTTCTTACCTTATATACACATATACATATACATATACATATACATATACATATACATACATATATATATACACACGCACACACATACGTGCCAACTTAAGGTTATTATTATTACATGTTAATGTCAAAATATTGGATTATGAAAAGTACGACCTATGAAATTAAATGATAAGACAAGGTTTACGATCTTAAACAATTAAATAGATAATTAAAATTATTATTTAAATAATCACATTTAAATTCTAAATTTAAGGTGTAATTTGCTTAAAATATTATTTGAATATGCATAATTTTATTTAAGAAATTGTCGGCATGGTTATATCCAAAATAATTATTAAAATAAAATTAGAAAAATATGGGTGATTCTTCCAATCGTGTCAATTTTTGTAATTTAAAATATAATTTTTAGTATTAATTTTATTAAAAATTATTTAGAAATTCAATTTTTTTTTATTTTACGTGAAATCTCTACTTTCTTATAACGAAAAATAAATTTAAAATATTTTGAAATAATTTTTACAAATTTATTTATTTTTCAAAAAATTTTCTTAATTAATGATCATCTACGTACAATTATTTAACTCTTTTGAATGGTTTGAAACTAGTTTAGGTCACGAGTTATGAAAACATGCAAACAAAATGAAGAACTAAGAAAAGAAATGGCAAGAATAACAGAGACGTGTTCGAGAGGACACGAGGGCTAAGGGAAAACCCTAATAGGTTATTGTTATTTTTTTTCGGTTCCAAAGTACTCGAATAAATTAAATAAGGTATTTATATATCTAACAAAATAATGTTGCACATATACATCATATATGTCTTAACAATACACATTTTAACCTAACATATATATTTACACATATACACGTGCACGCTATAAATACTGTACATCAGGCTAGGCAACCTGTAACTTCATTACACATGAACTCGAACAAATTAAATTTAGCAATTCAAAGCCCTTTAACATCTTTTGTACAGAAATGTAACATCTCTTTTTTTTTTTCTGGCGACATAGTCTCAAATAGTTCAATAGGCCAAATACTAGAATCTCATTCCAAATCAGTCGCACACATAGAAAGGAAACTACCACAACCTATTACTCAATATCAAATAGAAACCTTCAACCATAAATGCATCAATACAGTATAGCACAAATTCATACATCCTCAGTTAACATACAATCTACATTTCTACCAACTATTTAAGCTCCCAATTCTACCGGTAGAAATCTCTACTCTGTTTTCTCTGTATACTATGTTCGGAAACCGGCAACTCCGATCTCGACTCCATCCCTACTTCATCTGTAAATAATAAAGAGTGAGTACATATAACTCAGTACAGTAAAAATTAAGCTACAAGTATAACGTACAAACTAAATTAAAATTTCGTTTTTATATGTTTTCCTTTTCTGTTGCCTAAGTAATATTTTCTCACTATTCTTTAACTCTACAGTATTACTACGTGTCCGCAGTATTAAATCGTTATTCATACTAGGTGTGATCGTCCCCCGATATCACCCCCTCGGCCCCGACTAGGCCACTCATCCACACAGTTATTCGTCACCAGTATCGGCGACCATCAATTACCCTTCTATCACTCGACCCCTAGTTGGCCACTCACACACACCAGTAGTGTTTTCTTCCGTCACCAATATCGGTGACTCAATACCTTACTCGTCGGAGACCCCAAATATCACCACTATCGGCGATCTACTTACTTTTTCTAGATAGCGACAACCAATATTGGCGTCCCCCAGCCCAACCACCTCTAAGACAATTTCACCCCGTTCCTACTCAAGATGCCTAATAAACTCGCATACTTAACTCCCACTACGGGTTTTCCAACCTAAACTGTGCCTACACCAATAATATTGTCCTGAAACTCTCCAATTCTTTAACATATGTACAGAACCTACACACACCTCTCCATACAACACATACTCACACTTAGCACATATACACCACTGCACCCCTACACCGAGTGCTCACTTATACAATTCCTAAATTTACAGGAGCTACACCAACATACATTCACATACAACGCACGCCCACACACAACACAGTTACACCAATACACCTCTATTTCAATCACACAGACACAACCACTAGAGGCCTACCTTTCCTGCTCCCTAATTTCCAAAATACTCACACTCCACCCCTACAT